AAATGTTGTATTTTATCTATGTCAGAGTATGGATAACTTGAAAAAATATTAAAAAAAAAACCTTTTTAGTCTACTCACTAAAGTCCAAACAGCCCCATACTGAGTTGGACAAAACCACCTACTTATGGTTCCCACTGTTCTAATGAATGGATTTTGCAAAACAGGCTCCAGATTAACCTGGATTGGATCCGGGTTTCAGCATGATCAAATGGCTGGCACCCAAAGCTGAATATTAGAATATGGGCCTGGTTACATAAAATCAGGAGATACATTTTAAAAGTCAAATTGTTTGTCACCTGGCAGCATAAAAATAGTGATGGGGGGGGCGTGGCAGACCACAGAGCTCGATGGACGCACACTAAAACAGCTCCAGGGAACTGGGGAAACAATCCACTGTGATCGGAGACTATTGCACAACATGGGCAACCCCAAAAAGCTGCATCAACAACAGGGACAAGGAGGAAAAAACCCCACTACCAAAACCGGCTCGATAAACCAATATTTTAAAGAAAATACCGACCGAGAGGAAGAGGCCGCAGCCGCGACCAGCAAAAATGGCGGGGGTGAAATCACTCTGGATCCAACAACCAAATAGCCCTTCAGTCTCAGAAGACTAACAACTCTCAACACACTCAAATACAGAAGCTGACTTAAGAGAGCTAATAAAGAACTTACCGTCCAAAGACAATCTACAAACACTTATGGGAAAACTCATAGCCACGTTTCTATCTCAGATGGACGCCATGGGTTCGGATGTCCACCAACTGAATCTGAGAGTCACAGATCTGGAGGAAGAAAGAGAGGTATTATAAGCTCAAATAACGGATATATCCAAAACTGTAGACTCTCACTTACTCCATTACGCATCCACACAAAGACACATCGATGATCTAGACAACCGTGGGCGCAGAAATAATTTACGTATCAGAGGTTTGCCAGAAGCCCAGGGAGAAAATTTAGCACCATCACTAAATGAACTCTTCAACTTAATTCTGGGGGAACCGGGAGATAATATTATTTTACTCGACAGAGCTCACCGTTCCCTACGCCCAAGAGGCCTATCACCGGACGCCCGAAGAGACAATTTGTCGCATACATTACTTCTCCATCAAAGACAATATCCTCCAACTATTAAGAGAAACAACACAACCGTTACTGTTCCACAATAACCCAATACAAATATTTCCGGACCTGTCCAGGTACAAACTGTAGGCTAGAAGAGCGCTAAAGCCTGTCACGGAATTACTGAGGAACCACAACATCAAATATCGATAGGGATTTCCTTTTTCACTAATTGTCTCTAATAAAGGAAACATTATCTCAATTACAACCCCATCTGATATTCCCACATTCCTTCTAGCATTTGACTTACCAGCGACCTCGGTCTTAGACTGGAATTCGCCTACACTAAACCGAGAGGACATGAGCCTTCCATAACGCCAGCGGTGGCTCACACTAGCAAAGAAGCGGCGGAACGAACAAAGGTTTCTCTCACCTAATCAGAGAAATGGAGGAACTTATGAGGACCGTCGAGGCCTGAGGTTAGCACAACAACCAATGCAATAAACATGCCTTAACATCTTCAACACTAACTTTCTTCGCTACCAAAAGCTTGATCATCTGGGATTCCCTACCCTCACCCCTCCAATACATTAACCCCTCCTGTCCTTTCTTACCACTCCTCATCCTCTCCTCCCTACTCCCCCCTCCCCTCCCATTCACCACTTACAGATAACGGGACACTCTCTACAGTCGCATGTCACTCACCTCCATGTGGAGACCTCAACGGAAAGGAAACCCAGCCAAAATCTGATACGTAACTTAACTTGCTCCAGACACCTTTCCCCAGCAAGTATTATGAAGATAGCAGAGCAAGGGAGCAGTGAGTTAAAAGTTGACATTGGACCTTGACATTTCCACGAACTGGACACTATAAACCTATTTGGTCTCATACAGATTATATGACAACGTGACCTTCACAAATCAGGTTGTATTATTGTACAAAATGTTATGTCTATGTGCACTGTCTGTTACCATTAAGGGAATACTCTGATGTAAAGGATTCTCCACGAACCCAAAGCAAATACATAAGAACACTACCCACGGTTCAATTATCCTCCCCCTCCCTCCTACCCACACCGAATATGGCGCATTTAAAGCATTACCGCAACCTATAATTATTATCTCTTTTCAACCTATGCCGATTATCAAGAACTACAAGAAGCAAACTAACAATGCTCCCAATGCCTCCCCCCTCTCTTGCACACGCCCCCTCCCTACCCCAAGGGATCGTTTGACATCACCACACAAGGTTGCACGATGACCAGCCACACAATCAAAGCTCTCCTAAAGAAATTACACCGATGTAGGATTCCAATATCCCCCAGGATTCCAAACTCGGCACATAACCCCACTATTCCTAGGGAACTATCTTGCGTCCAGATAGTTTACCCTTCACCCTCTATAATTAGAGGTACCATACATGACCTCATTCCCAATGAAACTTTATTCACCTGCACTTAAGTTAAGCACCGAAGCATCCGCCTAAAAGGCTAATAACAAACCAATACCACTAATGCAAAACTTTTTTTACAGGTGGGATTATTAAAAAACCTTTATACCAAACTGAACAACAGTAAGCACGGTACTACTCAATTGTATTGTTTAGTTATAACTGTTTATATTTGTATATAGTTATTCTTTTCATTGTTTTTTGTTTTGTAACCTTAACCAATAACACTAAACTAGTATCACAGGTACTGGAGGCCCCCGCAGAGGGCAGTCAAGTCAACCACAACCACCTACAAACACTCTCTTCAGTTCACCAAAAATAAACTAGAAACCAGAAAAACCATTAAACAAAATATAAGATACGACCAGCAGACTTAGAATCTTGCTGTTTGCAGTTTTAGAACTTATGATCGCTGTTTATACTTAACCCCATCTAAAAGTGCTAACTTGTGCTTTGATTAAATATTTTTAGATAAACTTTTACAATTAGTTTTCAAAACATTAACATATCCAAAATATATCATATTTAATTAAAAATATCAATGCATAGGAAAAATATTCCTAGCTATTCCTTCTAAAATCTCACATCCCACACAAGCAAGACAACAGTTAACAATATACTGTTCCAAAAAAAAAAAGAAATGTCCTCCCTCACCATCCTCACGCAAAACGCCAGAGGTTTAACCCCTTAAGGACCAAACTTCTGGAATAAAAGGGAATCATGACATGTCACACATGTCGTGTGTCCTTAAGGGGTTAAACACACCCAAAAACCGAAACATTGCCCTTACAGAATTCCACGAAACATTGCCCTTACAGAATTCCGCAGACTCAAAGCGGATGTGATCTTCATCCAGGAAACATACTTCCGCAAAGATGTTGCTCCGAGGCTACAGAACTCAGACTACCCAAAGGGCTACTTTGGTCACTTCGCTGGCTCGAAATTAAGAGGGGTGGTGATACTGGTGGGTAATAGAACACACTTTACGTATCAGAAGCAACAATCAGATGACTCTGGTAGGTTTATATTCGTTAAGGACAAACTAGGTAACACACAAATAACCATGGCGAACATCTACTTACCCAATAAAAAAGCAAAACTCGACACTTAAGAAAATATTACACAAACTCTCCTCCTTCCAAGAACGAATTCTCATAGTGGGAGGTGACATAAATATCTAATTAGACCTAGATTCCACGTCAATAACCCAACACCACTTGACACAAACACGCAAACAGATAAATAATACGCTATTTGCGGCTCAACTATTCGATTGCTGGAGAGCACTTCACCCAAATCGCAAAGACTATTCGTTCTACTCTCCCCGCACAGGGACCTATTCTAGAATTGATACCTTTTTCCTACAACACAGATCTCTCATTAGCCACATACGGATCTATCACATGGTTGGACCATGCACACATGTCCCTGACCATAACGATCCCGACAATACCTAACCCCCTTTTTCAATGGAAACTCAACGACCTCTTACTTAACAAAGTTGAGAATATTGACAGTATCCAAGAAATAGCCAATAACTACTTTAAAGAGAACTCGGCTGCAGATATTTCTCCAACCCTAGTCTGGGAGGCCCACAAGGCAGTAATGAGAGGGGAACTAATAAAGATAGCTGCATTCCTTAAACGCAAAAGAGAACAAAAAATTAACCAGTTAACTAGAGAATTAAAAGATCTAGAAAACAAACACCACAAGACTAAACACCCAATACATGAATACAAACAAATAATCTCAAAGAGATCAGAACTGACAACTCTACTTCAAAATAATGCCACACGTAAATTATCACTAATCAAACACTCATACTTCACTAAAGGAGGAAAGCCAGGCAAATTCCTAGCTCAAGCCCTAAAACAAGAAAAAAAACACTTTTATATCAGAAATCACACAAGAAAATGGAACCACAACACGTCATATGCCAAATATAAAAGCATTTCATAAATTCTACACCTTTACAATCTGAATCAAACACACCCCACCAAAGAAGATATCCAACAATTCCTCATTCCCAGAATCAAAAACACACTCCCAAGCAATGAAATTGATTTTCTGGACGAGCCTATCTCATTAGATGTATTCAGAAACACAGTTAAAACACCCCCACTGGGCAAAAGTCCTGGCCCTGATGACTACACAGGTAAATACTATAAAGTTTTATCACAAACTTTGGCACAACCTTTCCTAGACGCATTTAACACCAGAAAACTCTCCTCATCCATACCAAAATCAGCCCTTGAAGTTACAATTACTCTCATTCCCAAACCAGGTAAAGCTCAATCGAAATGTGGGAACTACAGGCCAATTTCACTTATAAACATCGACCTAAAAATTCTCACTAAAATGATGGCAAATAGATTAAAACCCTTTCTCCCAAACCTAATGCACCAAGACCAATCCGGGTTTGTCCCAAACAGAGAGGCAAAACATAACACAACCAAAGTAATAAATATAATACACTGGGCCCAGAAACATAAAATCCATAGCACCTTGCTATCAATAGACGCCGAAAAGGCATTTGATAGAGTCAATTGGTCACTAATCACCCAAACGATGCAACACCTGGGGTTTGGACCGCATTGGCTTGAATGGCTGAATGCTATATATTCATGCCCCATGGCCCGTCTGCAAATTAATGGACAACTCTCTAACACAGTGGCATCAACAATGGAACAAGACAAGGCTGCCCCCTTTCACCACTCCTATTTATCTTGGTCCTTGATCCCTTTCTTCAGGGAATCAGGGATAACACTCACATCCAAGGTTTAAACATAGGCGGGAACGAATATAAGGAGGCGGCCTTTGCCGATGACCTTTTATTCACCATCACCAATCCCCTCCGCACACTTCCAAACATCATATCAGAAATGGAATTATATAGCAAAGTCTCCAACTTCCAAGCCAATTTAGCTAAATGCAAAATACTTCCCATCTACACCAATCAAATCCTCAACACAAAGATACGAGAGAAATTCCACTTCTCCTGGGTGAAAAGCTCCCTGAAATACCTGGGAATACAAATCCCATCCAATCTCCACCATCTATATGAACTAAACTTCCTCCCACTACTCAAAACCATCACTAAGGATCTCCTTACTTGGAACTGACCCTGCTTCAGATGGTTTTGTAGGAGTAGTATAGTAAAAATGAATATATCTCTTACAAGCGCTCCCTATATCGATCCCCAACAACTAAAACCATGATCACAAACATTGTTTGGTCCAATTCACACCCGAGGATTGCACACAATATACTAATCAAAAATAAAGAGAGGGGCAGATTAAACCTACCAGACATAGAAATGTACCATAAAGCGACTCATCTCGCAAGAATTCTAGACTGGACGCATAACGCCTCGAACAAACAATGGGTTCTGCTAGAAAACACTTTTTCAGGTATCCCATTAGAGGTTTGCCCATGGCTCCCACCAACCCAATTACAAAACCAACCTCAACAAGATCCGCGACCCACAATTAGATCTACACTCCAAGTCTGGCACAAGCTACAAAAAAATACAGAGATCTCTCCTTACCCCTCCCCATTGTACCCTCTCACACACAACCCATATTTTCAAAGGGGAATATCCGGACACACCTACAACACATACCACGGGGGTAAAATGCTGAGACTGAGAGATATGATTGATAACAATACAATAAAACCCTTAACACAAATAATCCCTGATACCACACCAACAGGTAACCGAATATTCCATTATAACCAATTAACACACTTTCTCAAAAGCCAGAATCTCATGAAAAATGGATTACGCGATCTAACCAGATTTGAACAAATCTGTGAAACACACACAACTACCAAAAAACTACTATCTACCATGTATAATCTACTTAAAAATGAACAAGACCCAAACCCACCCAAATGCACTTTACAATGGGCAGAAGAGCTTCAAGTGGACATTACACAACGAGAATGCAATACCATTTTCAGCACAGCCCACAGATCAACCTCTTCCAACCTAGCCCAGGAAAGTAACTATAAGCACTACACACCACTAAAACTACACAAAATCTACAACACATCACCAGAAACCTGCTGGCGTTGTCAACACGCAACAGCTAATCATTCCCACATTTGGTGGCAATGCCCCACTATAACGAATTTCTGGAGAAAAATACACACCCTCACCCAAACAATCATAGGATGTAAAATTCCTTTCACACCTCAACACTACATCTTTCTACTTCCACCAAAAGGTCTTAGAAAAGAATAGAGGACACTTTTAAATTTTCTAGCTATGGGAGCCTCGCAACTGATTCCAAACTATTGGAAACAATCACAAACTCCTTTAATTGGTGAATGGATGGGGAGAATTGAGGATATTAGACAGATGGAAGAAATCACATATGCAAAATCAAACAACTTCCAAAAATACTCTGGAATTTGGGAAACATGGATTTCATTTCTTAAGCCAAAACACTTAAGCTCTACCCCACAACAACAAGACCGCACCTGGCACCAAGGCCGGTTTGGGCTATTCAACCCTCCCCCCCCCTCTGACTTAACACAAAGACGAGAACCTAATATTTAAAAAGTGAAAGACACAGCCTACATTTTCCAACTAAAGAAACAATTACAAGATTCTAATGATTCTTCAGAATTCTGGATCAGACAAGTCAAAATGATTCAATTTGTAGAACTGTAATATATTCCTGTGTTGATCAACCTATGCACATTAACTGTTATGTCGACTCTCTATATGTAAACTTGACAATCTGACATACGGAAAATCAGTATTAATTTAAGTACTTCAACTGTGATGACAATTTCAGAAATGTATTTTGTTACTCTGTTACGTATGTTATCTTGTATGTTAACGTAAAAAATAAAAAATTTTAAACAGAAAAAAAAATAGTGACTGGGCAGTCACTTGTGCACTCAAGTGGAAGAACATCTAACATTTGCCAACTTGCTTGCACTGTAGCCTCCTAATTGTCCCACAGACATGAATCTCCATGTGATCAATACTATTTTAATACTCTCTCTCCAATTTCAGCAATTAGATAAACATTAACTGATAATGCATCATTGTCAGTACAAGTGTGATGCTTTGAAATAGAGACTCATGTTGCCCCTAACTAAAATTATCCAAGGTCCACAGGAGATATCTAATTATTGCTTGGGTAGAGTTTAGACTACAACCCACATGGAACATCTGTGTTTCTGTAGCTACTGGATGTTGCATGAGCATTACATTTTTAACTCTTATAATTTCAGTAGCCATTAAAGGCAAATAACATTTCGTGTTCAAAGTCTACAAACAAAAAACTGGGTCAAAACTACCAAAGGTGATACTGGATTTGTTTTCAGAATAAATTATGAGTAAGCAAGCATTCTCATCAATCACATAAATGAGATATTGTTGTCAACAACACACTCAGTGGGAGTGGGAGCGGGAGCCTAAAGGTTGCATTTAACAAATGGTGTGTAAATAAACGTTTTAGAGACACAGACCACCATTTTAAATTGTTCCTTGGGATACAATTATTCTATTAAAAATATATTGAAAATAAATCAGATTACAAATGCTTAACACATTTGTCAAGGTTATAGAAATCTAAACAATAGAGGCTTTGGACAATATGTATAGTCAAATTTAATTAAAAAGGCAAGAACAAGAATAAAAAGCATTGAATACTCATAGCAGACAATAATGTGCATAATTAAGTTCCAATTTAATTAGTTCTTATTGTATCAAACCTACTGTGTAATAGTATGGGCATTATAAGTAAGAATAATTAGTAAACGTGAGTCTAAGTTACGGATTATCAAACAAATGTAAATGCAAAGTTTTATAACTGCATTAAAGGGACACTCCAGTGCCAGGTCCCCTCTCCATCACACCCCCCATTACAAGTTGATGAAGGGGTTAAAACCCCTTCAGTGACTTACCTTTATCCATTGCCGAAGTCCCTCGGCACTGGTTCATGACGTCATCCGGCAGGGGAGACCTATTGTGCATGCGCGGGAGTCCTAATGCACGTGCGCGGCATTGCATTAGACCTCCCCGTAGGAAAGCATTGAAAGATACTTCAAGTGCTGTTCAGTGCTGTTCAGTGCTTTTTATGTATGGGTTAGCACTTTGAATTGACTTCTATAGGATACAGTAAGCCAATGTAAGGACTGACAGAGGGGTGAAGTGTGAGAAGACCGACAAGAGAGGAAAATCAGTCTGGTGGTGGCATTCATTACAGACTGTAGAGGGGCAATACGGCTTTTGGGAAGACCAATCAGGAGAGGGTTACAATAATCCATGCAGGAAATTACTAGAGTATGGACAAGTTCCTTGGTAGCATCTTTCATAAAAAAGGGGCGGATGGGGGCTATGTTTTTAAGTTGGAATCTACAGGATTTGGCAACATACTGGATGTGTGGCTCAAAGACGAGGCCAGAGTCAAGTATGACACCAAGACAGCGTGCTTGCAAGGATGGACTTATGTGGATACCACTAACTTGAAGGGAGAGTGAGAGAGGAGGATCGGAATTAGGAGGAAAGACAAGGAGTCCAGTTTTAGAGAGATTGAGTTTCAGAAAGCGGAAGGAAATCCAGTCAGAGATGGAAGAAAGGCAAGCAGTGACAGTGTTTTTTTTTATAAAAACAAGTTGTTTTTAGTTGGTTTTTTTTTTTACACCTAATGTAGGCAAAAATAATGGGGGTTTAGTTACATTATACGATCATACATTACATAAGCCTGCCACAACGTCAATGTACCCCATCTTTGGCAGGTCATACTTTAACAGCCTAATGTCTGCTCTTATGAGATTAACCCACTTACTTGGGGAAAAAAATTTAATCTGGGGTCTCTGCAGTACAAGCCACAGGTGCCTCATGCCAGGGCCCTATTTAGCCTTGTACTGCAGAGAGCCCCAGATGGAACTTTTTCCCCAAATATGATCATATAATGTAACCAAACCCCCATTATTTTTGCCTACATTAGGTGTTTAAAAAAAACAAAAAACAACAACTAATAAAATCTGTCAGCATTGAAGTTGCTGTTTAGTGGCTAAGTGAGTGTGCTGGATCTTGTGTATTGTATAATTTGGCCCCCAGCAGCACCCCCTTTATTATGCATGTACAGGTGATTGCAGCCCCCTGGTTTTATTTATATATATATATATATATATATATATATATACACACACACACACACACACACACACACACACACACATATATATATATATATATATATATATATACACACATACACACACATACATATACACATATATATATATATTGTATTATTTATATATACATAGATATTTAATTTTATTCTAAGTGTGATTTGATATAAATATATATTTATATCAAAATACAGTTAGAATAAAATTACATATATATATATATATATATATATATGTATAATTTGTAAAAAAAAATCATTATTTTTAATTTTTTTAAATTTATTTTTAATTAATCATTATTTATTTTTAAAATAATATATACAATATATATATAAATATATATATATATATACACACACGTATATTTTACTCTAAGTTTTTTTTATATTAATATATGTGTATATTAATAAAAAATACACTTAGTATGACGTTATTGATAAGATAAATATATATATAATATATAAATATATACATATTATCTATATATATATTATTATTATTTTTTGATTGAATACATTTTTTTATTTTTAACAGATGCAGGGA